AAATCTATCTTACTTCWATTCTAAAATTGTTTTTTGGTGTCTGATCCATGGAAAAGGTACATGGAATCATGTGTAGCCAAGCTGTCACACTATAAAATAGGCTAAAGTTACATCATACCAGTGGCTGACAGSATTCTATTTTGTGCAAAATATTCATTTCAGAGATGCCTTTCTTAGAGACATTTTCAAATAAATAACTACCTCTTTTTGCTAAATCCAGCTGATTTTGATTCACTTTGCTTTGCTATCTGGGCAACTGCTTGTGCAAATCAAGCAAAGATTATGTTGCCATACCCACATCTCATAAGAAATGGTACATCCTCAGATACCGGGAGAAATGCTGCCCAGGACAAAATGATAATTTAAAGCAGCATTCCAGTGATTTGGAATTTTTTAATGTCCCAATGCTGAGGGGCAGGTGAATTTTCCTTCCAGTGTATACAGTATCTTGCAAGGGGTGTGTCACATTTCACACAATTAAATGGTCTTTTGTGGGTAATGGGACAGTAAAAGCCTGTTATTATTTGTATAGATGAAGGTATTTTTTCTGTGTTACAAAAGTATTGCAAGTTTGTTTTTTTAAACGTTTAAAACTCTGTGTGCTTTAGAGTTGCTCTCCTTTGTGTTACTGGTGTCCCTTTTGTCCTCTTTGTGGAAATCTGACTGAATTTAGATTTCTAAACATTTTGGGAAAAGAGAGCCACCCATTCTCAGGTATTCAGCACAGGCTTTACTAGAGTTTGACAGCTGAATTTTCCAGTGTCTCCCTTCCCAGGAACATAGTAGCAGCCCAATGGGGTGTCCACATGCCAACTRCATAGAATAACTAGATATTTTGCAGCTAAGGACTATATGGAATCATGGCCATTTCCATTACAAAACCCAAAGGAAAGGCTCAGCCAGCCAGTGGTGCATGCAAGAGTGGGAAATTCTTCCTTCTACACTGCTGGCAGATGTGCCTGGGATCCAGGCAGCCTTACCAAGGAAGGAACTTGACCTGAATGTAGAGGAAAGAAAAAGGGAAAATCGGGTGAAAAAAAGGGAAGGTAAAAATCAGGACCAGGTGACATTGATATGATAGAGGAGAGAGAAATTATAAYTGGGAGATGAAAGGAGAAGATGGAGGATGATTGAATAAGGGAGAGTTGGAAGTCAATGAGAGAAATACAGGGAATGGGGATATGTTGGGCTGGGGGGGACACAGGGGAAAGAGGTCCTCTTGACTGCTCTGTGGCTGATGAGAAGCTTGAAGGAAGGAAGGACAAATGGGATTAATTTGGAGAAAAAATTGTGGGGAGAGGAGGAGGAACCCACAAAATCAAGATGCAGAAGGAGTGCTTGGGCTGCTAAGGCAGGGAGCCTGGGGCAAGGAGCTGTGGAAGCCTGGCTGGGTAGGGAGGGCACTGAAAAGTGTGTATGAAGTTGGCATTTTGGGCAACCTGGAGGAGAACAAGGAGACTGAGACTAAATAACTGGGCCTTCTTAAGTAACAAATAGGAAGAAATCATGTAGATTTAGGKTAGGTTAATAAGTGTCCTTCAGCGAAAGAAAAAGGGCAACACTTGAGCAGGGGGAGAAGACAGGAAGATACTGGGAGTTGAACAGTGAGCTTGGAAGATAACCCATGTAAGCAACCAACCTTGAGGTGASAAAACACATCATTGGACCCTGGGGGTAGGTGAGCAAAAAGACTGGAGAAAGAACAAAGTTCTAACACCAGGAAAGGAAATGACAAAAACTCCATACTCCAACTGCTACTGCAAATGCTCAGCTGAGAGCTGGCCTGGCTGAGAACTGTGTGCGGGCTCTGAGGGCTCCAYGTGATGCTCCTTTGGAAAAGTGTGGTGTAGGAGGGAGGAGCCCTGCAAAACCATGCACAGACACACATTTTTGAACATGTGTTCTGTGGACTAAAGGCCAAGCTCCAAAATACGAAGGAATTCCAGCTGCAGTAGCAATAAAGCTTTGTTCAGCACCACTGGTGTGATTGGATGTGCAGTTTAGACTGCTTGCAGTTATTGCTGTGACTGACACTGGGGAATTGCAGACCCAYGGCCAGGCTGGCATAGAGCTTGCTCTGTGCTCTGCAAGGGGTGAATTCACTTCATTGGCACAAGGAAGTGCCCACAGATATTCTGTTGTCCCATAATCCTGCCTCCACACTATTCAGGGTCCTCCTAGGAARCATCTTTCAGGGGTCACTAGCAGAAGATAGATGGTGTTGCTGAAATCTTGTTGAATGTACGGCGGGAGGCACAGGCGGGTGAGCACATCCATACACGAGCATGTTCATCTGCTGCAAGTAGGGAAGAAAAAGCACCTTTGCCATGTTTCCATTCTTTTGCCCAGGAAAGGATTGTGTGTAWGCATGCAGCAGAGCAGCACACACACAATAATGTTTTGGAAGAGAAAAATTCAAGGAAAAGTCCTTTACACTAAAAAATGCACAAAGCTTGTGATGATCTGTAGGACTCCTAAGAGCTGTTCCACAGCCTTTTGTTGTTCTTGGAAATGCCATCTCTTGCACTAAAAAAAAAACCCTTGTTACTCCTGTAGAGTTTCTTGTTTGTCCTAGGAATTAAATTATCTTTTTAAGCCATTGAGTGCTTCGGGAAGAGAACCAAAACCTTGAACATGCTTCAGTCTTCTGTGAGCTGAGGACAGGTCTGCTCATTAACACAGGTTTCCATGACTGTTTCTTCCAGAGCTGAATATTTAGCTATTAATATTTATGTTGGATATTTGCATCAGTTGCTTTCAGTTTTACAGACCGACAGGGTCTGCATGTGCATCTGTCATGGAAAATCAGGTTCCATGGAGCATATCCTTGTGTGCACCTCTACTCCTCTTCATCCCTTTGGTCTCCCACTTTGTTCTTCACAGTAGCGTATCCCTGTGGCAAACATAGATAACGCTTACTAGGAAATAATTTTTATTAAAAATGCTTACTAGTAGTAAGAATAAATTATTTAATGTCTTTCTAGCCTTCTTTAATGTGTTGTAGCTGTAAGTACAGGGCAAAAAGCRACACCATATGACCATGCTACTTTGGGAACAGTCTATAAACTGCAGTTAAATAGTTTCAAGATATTTATGCAGTGCGTAAGTCACATGAATAGAGGTTTATCACAATCAGTAGGAATGCTGGATTTTCATATCRCCCATTTGCTGCTTAAGATGATTAGCAGGAAATTTAATTTGCACTAATTAGCCTTCGGGGAGCAAGAAATTAACTTGATGAGTAAATTTCACTTTTTACTATATACCACACCAACATGAAGAAATTTGAGTTAAACCATGAATTAAATCCTATGCTAATACACTGGACTTCGGTTTTTCTAAATTAAATTAAAAGACTGTAAAAAATTATTATATGCATGGTTAATGGGGGTGGGGTAGGATCTAGAGTCGTATAACAGTCTTTCAATGTATTCACTGAATTGTCAGCCACTTCCAGAGAGTGTGGGATATTTTTGTACCTTAAACTACATTGATATCTGATATTACAGCAAAAGCTTTAACAAGTCCTTATTTTCTATATTTGCATATTTTCATTATACAACTTGCATTATGGTTGCCTATAATGTTCTACATTGCAATGCACAGAACAAAAACATTAGTCACAGAACTRCTGTGAAAATTCCATATTCTTTAATGTGCAACACCCATTTGCAAATGCATTTTAAGGTTCAAGAGCCTTTGTTCACATGCTGGCAAAATTTCTATGAAAATAGTTTTTTTAGAAATCACTCTCAAAAGTATACAGCAAATGAGGGAGACATGACTCACCACATACACAAATTAGAATTAGGAGCTAATAAACTCTAATCTTGCCTGTTGATGGTGACTTTTCTATCTSATTCTTCCAAGAGACCATTTAGATTACTTGGTTTTTCCCTATCAAATGGAGGCAATTTTTATGTATCCACTACTCAAAATTACTGTGGATTGATTAATGCTTGCAAAGCAATGAGTCATTTGGTATGGGAGTATCCATCCATTATAAACTGAAGTGTTCTGTTSTACCAGGCTTGTGGTTACATTCAAATCTGTAAAGAAGGAGATGGAAAGCATCAGTTGCATATGAGATAATTGCCTTTGATGTCAGTGCTGCTGCTAGTTTGTGCATCTGAAATATACTCAGAAGCTCACTCTCACTATTATATTTTTGGAATTAGGCCTTGTAAAACTTACCTGGCACTACTACTGAAGTTAGACATGCAACTTCAGTGRAAGCTTTGCCCAACTAAGTATTGCTGAATTGGGCACCTTTAGCCCCTAGGTTGGGCTTTAAGTGGTGCATATAAGTGAGTTCAGGCATCTGCTCAGACCTTATAGCCTATGACATAAATACTGGTCTAAAGAGAGATCTCAGATTGATCTGTGGGTAGTCACATATTGTATAACGTTCTAGTTTTCCTTTCTCAGGTCCTCCTCTATTCCCCAGTAGTCCAATTTCTCAGTAGTATCCCTCCTATTGAATCAAGAGTGCACGTGTATGTGTGTGTGTGCATACATGGGTGGATATATATAAATACAGAAATATAAATGCACACACAAACAAACATGTATGTGTACACAATGTGCTTTGCTTTTTTGGGTGTAGAAGTATATTTCTGTCAATRCACACCACTTGTATTTATACATTTATGGGTAATATTCCGCTTTTAGTAGTAATTGACATCATGTGGGGTTTTGTATAATAATTACATTGGGACAAAAAACCTTGCAGATGGTTTCAAGAGTGACTCTAACTTGCCATCAGTGTAAAAAGATTAAATACAATGAGCCCACTCCCTCTGAATGGAGTCAGCCATTTTCATTGATTTCAGTGGGAGCAGGCGCAACTTTGTCCCTACAAAGGGAGAGAACATGTATTATATTCGTTAAATGAAAGTTTGATTTCATTGAACTTAAAATTATTCATGTACTGTTAGCAAATGGTTTGAGATTTTATAACTAGAGCATTTGCTGAATTGTGCTTTGTATTTTCCTCACAGCAATTGGAAGAACCCTCATYCCTCGTTATTTTAGCACTGTCTTTGAAGGAGGTGTAACAGACCTGTATTACATTCTCAAGCACTCAAAAGAGTCATACCACAACTCATCCATCACAGTGGACTGTGATCAATGCACCATGGTCACTCAGCATGGAAAACCCATGTTTACCAAGGTAACAGGGAAGACTCAATAAAGCATGTTGTTGGCTTTTTGTTTTCTTTTTTAGTGTGTATAAGAGTGAAAAATATTGGCTGTTGAATTTTTCCGGTAGATTATTTCTAATACTGAAAACCCTTGGAGCCATTTAATTACTGTTTTCTATATTCATTATATGACTGGAAAATTCTGTGGTTATCTCCTGCAATTCTCCCAGAAAGATTGCAAGAGAAGCACATAATGCCAGGTTGCCAGAACTATCAGTTTTAGGTGAATTAAATTCAGCCTGCCCATCTTTTCTCTGGGTTAGATTTTAAATGAGATTTCACATTGCTGGTGCCTACCATTTGGAATGGYATGCATTACATTTGATACTTACCTAGTACAAGGGCTATAAATCTCTAGGAAAATTGTGATTTAATACAGTAGGATGCCAATCCAAAGGGCAATGAAGTCAATGGAAGGAGTCGATTGAAGCATGCTCTGGATCAAGTTAGTGAACATTCAATATTTGTAATTGAAAGGAAATTATCTTCATGTATTAGGCACATCTAGTCCTGTAAATAAAATGGGTGCCRCATATCTATATAAAAAAAGAGTAGCAATACCAAAAAGGTGAAAAGTAAAAATTAAAACAAAAATTTTCTTATATTAAAAAGATCAGTAAACTGATTAAAATCAAAAATCAAAATCAAACTGATCAAAACTGATCCAAAAAAATCAAAATGGGAGTGAATACTTTTTAATACATTATCAGGAAGTAATGGTTTTCCATCTTGTACTTGTTCATCTTTAACTTTTTCATGAAGAAAAGAAGAAAAGGAGAAGGGGCAACAGAAGGTAGCTAAACCGTGTTGCCCATAGTCTGCAGGACTGTGGAAATTTTAATTTTAAGTCACTGGCTATTGACAGATCATGACCAGGGTCTCCACCCCTCGTGCTGTTTTAGCAATTATGTGAGTCCTGTGCCTTCTCTGCCCTTGGGGTGCTGCTCAGAAGGGAAGGAAGCTGCTGGTGCAGTGCACTGGTGAGCCGGGAAACGCGAACCCACTGCAGCCCCTGTGGCTTCCACAGACACAGAGAGACAGAGGAGGGATCAGACATTCCTATTAGCACCTCTTTGCCACCTCACTGCTCATGAGGAGCTGCGAGTCCTGGCCATGTGCGGGAGATGTGCCAAAGTTACACAGGAGCTGCTTCACTGCTGAGCTCCCTAAAGGCATTTCTGTGTCATTTCCCTTTGTGTTAGCTTTAATGCAATAGCAAATAAAAGGGGCTTGGTTTGGGTTTTGTCAACAAGTAAATACAGAACACTTTTCTCAGTTAAATTAGATTATTTGACTTACCATGGCAGCATAGGACAGTGCTGTTATTTTGGAAAAGAGGTTTGAATCCAGCAAGTCAAAGGTGGACAAGCAAGTATGGACTGGGCTGGGTGCCCATCTCGTGTGCCACTGTCCTGTTGTGTGCAGTGTGTCTCTGTCTGCTGCAGCGCTGGCACTGCACAGTTTGCCTCAGCCCTCATATTTCTCTCGTGTATTCCAATGTAAATYTCTGTGCCCTGGTAGAAGAGTTCAGGTGGGGAGGTGATTTGGATTCTAGGAGAAAAACTAGGATGCTTTAATGCCTGTATGTTAAAAATATGACTTGTTAGTAAGAGCARATCTGAAATAAAACACTGTAGTTGAATATAGGAAGGTGGAATAGGGGAGCAGAGAGTATATTACTCTCTCAGAAATCAGTTAGAGCTGAATGTTGTCTCAGCTGTGCTTGTTTAACTTCTAGCAGAGATACTGAGGGCACAGATCTCTCACCCAAAGGTAAACTCCTACTCACAGTATTGGTGATGGAACAAAGCACACCTCCTATAATAAGCACTACTGCAATGCACTGTGTAGCTCCTTGGATCATATCTGAATTTGATCCAGTGAAAATACCATGGGGAGGGGGGGTTTAGTGCAAAACTACAAACTGTTTCAGTYTCACAAGAAAATTCTCAGCTGCAAATACTCTAACTTCTAATAGAACAGACTGACACACTTTTCATTATGTATTGAATCAAGAGTCCACAGAATCAAGAATCAAATGTGTTTTATTCATTTCAATATTTTGCTAGTTAGAGCAACGCGCTGCATACAGCAGTATTGGATGAATATATAAAATGGCATTTCCAGTTCTTTTCAAACAAATATGGCCAGAACATGCCTAGCAGTCAGAATATTAATAGTCCAGCTTGTCTTTGGAGGCCAAGAGGTCCTTGTAAAGTTCCACACACTTAAAAATTATTTTATCAAAATATAAATTAATATTACAAAGAATTTATAGCAGTTCAATGGCATAAATAAAATGTTGTAAAAGACTGAAGCCAAGACTATTATGTTTGTTTGCCTGGGAGATGCTCCACGTTTTTCTTCAAGTTTTCTTCAAGACAAAAATTTTAGGAGTYCTCCTAAGTCTCTGCTTTCCCTGTGTTTACTCCAACTCTGGCTCTCCCACTTTATGTGCAGGCAAATTGTTTTTCTACATTTATCAATGTTCATGTTCCCCAGTACTGGCAGAGGTGGGCATTGCCTTCACCACTRAAGAGTGAGCACCCCATGCACTCACAACTCTCTTTCTGCTCTCGACAGTGGGGCCATCAGCTGGATTTTATTGGCGAAGACCTTGAAACTCAGTGATTTTAATCCTTACTAATAATATCGGGCATTGCCCAGATTTGGATAAGCTTTAGGATTCTTTTCAAGCAACAGCTCATGTTTGAGAAATGGTAGTTAATAAAGGGGGAACACTTCTAAAGATGCCCAGTGTTAGGAGAATGAGATTGTGAGCAATAARGCACAGGACCAAAGCTGGTTTTCATAGGCACAAGCAGTTGAAATTCCTACAATTAATAAGTGCAGTGAAGGGGTTAAAAAGCTATTGGTTAGTTTGAGAAATGTTCTTTTTTAGTTTTTTCCTGGCCTAGTCTAGAGCAACCACGTGATACCCTGAATGCCTGCCAGCCTCTTTCTTGTTGATCCTCCGGAGACCATCTGTGCTGGGGGCATTGATTAGAGTGTGTCTGCTGGGATTACATCTTTTCTGTTGCCATGCCAACTAATCAGCTGATTTTGGTTACCACAGAAACAAAATGTCAGAGCTCACAGTACGGTAACATGAATTCAGCACAACAGAAAATGTTTTCTTAATTGGAGACCCTTTTGATTTTTTGGATTCTATGCAAAAGGCAGCTTTTAGAAAAAAAAATAGCCCTTTTAAAATAAGAACTGTGCCAAAATTATTGATTAAAAGCAATGTGTAAAATTCTACTTTATGTAAGGAAATTAAATTCCTTTATAAGATCTATAAATTTTTACCACCRTAATATGAGGAATGTATTTAAGTTTTTCTATTGAAATTTGTTAATGCCAGTGCCTAAAATCTACYGCAAGCTTTGGCGGTTTGAGCTTAAGAGAAGAAACATTTGAGAAGCCACAGGTATTATTGTAAAAAATTATTTAAAACCTGAAATATTTTCATGTTAACTGGTCAGTAACCAGGATCTTTGGCCTCAACACAGTAACATTAGTACATAATATTTTTCTTCTGTGAATCCTTAAGTGTGTGCATGTGTACCCTTGTGTAATTTCTCATCATARTGCAGGTAATGTGAAAATCAAAATTAGGGTGAAACATAAGGCAYATTAAATATTGGAAGGCATCACTAAGGTGTGTTGAAAAGGACAGATGAGAACTYGTTGCAAGATTCTCCTTCACAGGTGGTGTACAGGAATTTGTCTGTACAGTGTGCCTGTTAAAATTACCTATGTGTTTTGGCAGAATCAGTGAGGAAAAACTATAATGATATTAAGTGAACTGTTAACCAGAAAAACCACCCATTGACCAAGTGAGAGCTGGCCTGAGTTGGAGCTCGAAAAAAGGCTCAACAGACTCAGCTGAATCTGGGATGGTTATTTTTCAATCAAATACTACCTGTATTAAAATTAAAGGTGCAGAAACCTTTTCTTTTGTATGTCATTACACCCTGTTTCCACAATATCTGTGTGCCCTGCACTTGCAAGTTTACTATGAACAGGAATTGTAAGTCTAAATATCCAATTCAGTTTTTTTTAATGAACAGTGGTAATTTTCAAATCAGATATGATTTTCAATACTCCATGGTACCCCCATAAAAGGTACTATACTGGGCTTGTATTTTTCACCTTAATGAAGACCACAATCAGAGTACCTTTTCCACATAAAATGAAGACCACAACTACAGTACCTTTTCCACATAAAATGAAGACCGCAACTACAGTACCTTTTCCACATAAAATGAAGACCGCAACCACAGTACCTTTTCCACATAAAATTGTGGAGTTGTTTAAAAGCCCCCAGTAATTTATTTGATTTTTCATTTATAGGTAGTACCCACTTGCTGCATTTATTTCCCCCCATATTTTCTGTCCTTTCTTAGACAAGATTGCTCACAAAGCCACTTTCTGTGGAAGTAGCTCCGTTGTCCTGGCTCTCCTCTGCTCCCCTCACCCTCAGACCTGTGAGCCAATGCAGCTCATGGAGCCCCATGAAAGACAYCCATCTGGCTTTCCTTGGAAGGGGAGATTAATAAAACTAGATAAGAAATTAAAAAAACCAAATAAACGAAAAACAAAACCACAAAACACAAACCCAACARGACCAAATGTTCRGGAAAGACAAGGACACTTGGAAARRACAAGAAAAAAATTAGGAAAAAAAACGGTTTAACCACAGGCATTCAGGGCACTGCCTACTCCAATGGGACATGAAAGAATGATTTATGTGCCAAGCTATAGTAAGGAAAGGGCAGCCTAAAACAGTCTGGGAACGACTGGTTCAGCAACTTGCCATCAAGTGCACTCAGTTGCACCACAGTCACCTCTACTGCGAGGTTCAGTCATTAATTAGCAGCACCAAACTGTGAGTGAAAGAGAATTGATGCAATAAATAAGATTTAGTGCACAATATTCTGTTTGTAAAACGCTATAAAATCTATAGCATTATAAGTTACTGTTTCTGAGGTGAGGCCTATGAAGTAATTTTCCCACATTCATTTTTTCTCCCCAAGAGAACGAAAAACAATTAATCTAGCAGAGATGAACAATAGAATACTGCTCTGATATTTTCGAATGTTGTTGAATCGATGATACAATACCACTGAAAACAAAATTCCTGGGAATTTATTTCATTCATTTTATGTATTCTAGGTATGCACAGAAGGACGTCTTATCTTGGAGTTTACTTTTGATGATCTTATGAGAATAAAAACATGGCACTTTACTATTAGACAATACAGAGAATTAGTCCCACGCAGCATTCTAGCCATGCATGTAAGTAATCCTTTATTCGTTTGACCGAATGCAAAGTGATGAGATTAGGTTTATGAAGAACTCCAGCAAATTTCACACCCAAGGCAATTAACTATAAATATTTTGGTTTGCCTGCAACTACATCTATTTACAAGTTCTTTCATCACTCCCTTGTTTCTCAGTGCTCTTTATTGTTGCCACTGTTGCTATGTTTTCATTCTATTTTAGCACGTAATTTTCTTTTTAATCCCACTTGGTGGTGTGTATGATTTGGGTCCAAAATCTCTTTCTATTGATATGAACTACACCAAAGTCTGTGAATTTTTATTATTGTACATACAAATGATTTTTCAAGCTTTAAATGAAATAAACTGTTGTTACCCTTGCATAGACAGAAGATAAGAAATTACCATATATTTACTTAGAAACCTTTAGAATTTTAATCCAGGTCTTCTTTTGTTACACATTTCRTGACTTCCTTTTGTTATTGAACAAAAACACACAGAATGAAACTTTAAAATATTAAATATTCTGCAAGTTAAAGTCAAAATACACTRAGGTAAATTGTGGAGAAACAAAGAACATGCTGCTATTGACACTTTCAGTTCTTCACCATAGAGGCATTCCTACTAGTAGTGCCTTGATATACAAAATSAATTGCAGGACTATGCTTTTATGAAGGGTAAGACCACAGACCCAAAGATGTTCCTGCATTTTCATGTCGAGTTACTGAGATATCCATAGATAAAGATATATCCTTARTGAGGAATTTTAAATAGCTTAAGCAGCCAGGACTTTTTTTCRGAGTGCTGTTACAAGCCTGAAGAAAGCACCTCTGAAAACCTGCCCAACCTTTTCTGTCCCAGGATTATCTGCTGTTCTAGGGGACTGATCAACTGAACTCATTGCCAGTATCCCATTAAGGGACAATGAGCGACATTATGTATTTAGGGGGCTGCTACAATTCAGAGTGGAAGCAGGTTAGACAGCAACCAGCAGGTATTAATTTTAGTAATGAGATTGATCTCATTTTAAAGAGGAGGCTGGTCTCACAGGTAAAGCTCTGGCTAGGGTCAGAGAAGGACTATACTTGCATTTTTCCCTGTTTAATTCTGGGAAAATGACTCAGATCAGAAGGGTTGTCCAGACTGTCCTAATGTCACATATTGATGAGGTCTTTCTGCTGCAGTTTCTTACCGAAAAAGAAAGTGATGTGTTCTTTATTCCTGCCTTTTTCTGTCTTGTCTCCTGGGACTGCCAGCCAACAAATAGAAGKGTACTGCAATCCCTCAGGAAGCTCCTTGGTGGGGCTCTGCTCACCTGCATGACCAGACCTCTTAGCTCTTTCTTTGGAATGGATGGGCAGGGATCAAAGGAAGATATTGGAAAACAGTCTTAAGTCCACTCCAATTTCATAATGCTTTATATTTTCTTATGCACATGGAACTCTACCTTATTATGTAAAATTAGTATCAATATGTAATTTTTCCATAGCAGTGGCACTGCTTTTCAGGGAATCCTCCTTACAGTCCACTAAGCACATAGGAAAAAAAAAAAAAAAAAACAATGAAAAGCAAAGTGAGAATTCTTTTTTCCTTTGTTGTTTAGGCACAAGACCCTCAGGTGCTGGAGCAGCTGTCCAAAAACATCACTCGAATGGGTCTGACAAACTTCACCCTCAACTACCTCAGGGTAAGCATACCATAGCTGATGATTATTGTGAGCATTTTTTAAAAGTTTCTGTTGGCTTTGAGTCAAGGTAATGAGAGCAGAGCCTGTGTCAGTCAGGTAAGAAATTGACCCAACCCTTAATGAGGGTGAAGGGAAAAACAAAGACACTGCAGTAGAGATGAAGCTGATAAAAATGGGCTATTAAAAAGGCTGAGAATTTTATCATTCACTCCAAGCCTTGTGTGAGTAGCCCCTCTTTTTAACAGTCTTTCTTCTCAGTTTTGAATAATGTCTTTATTTTTTTTGTGAGCAAGACGTTCCCGACATTTTTCCTCTCAGTTTCACTGTGCCTGAGAAAATGGCAGCTAATTCTTTTTAAAAGCTGCCTGTCTTCTCCAGTTTTTCAACCTTGCCACCTCTCCCAGGCTGAGGCAGGGCTGAGGGCTCCAGCTCCAGCCCTGTTTGCCACAGTCYCTCAAAGCAGTCCTCACTTCATATGCCTCTGGGAGCCTGAGATTCCTCCTTAGCCTTGCACTGAATCGAGTGTGGGTTTTATGATTAAATAATGCATTTGTTCCCATTGCTTTTTGACCCTTAAAGTGCATTCAAAGTTTAGATGTTTATTTTTATTTTTGAAAGTATTCCCTGGTGTAGGCTCACAATACATACATAGAAAGACAGATTTGTAGAGTTCGTATTTCAAGCTTAAATTTCAGATTTTTCCTGTTTCTAGATGTGCCATTAGTGGATGAAATGAGGCAAATTGCTCAATGATACACCAAGCTAACTTGGCCAAGAGTATCAGGTTTTATTCCTTTTAATTGTGTGAATAATTATTCAAGGCATTTTTTTAAGATAACACAAACACTGGAAATGCAGTTATTTCCAGCCTAATGTAGAGCTGTATTTGAGTCTGCAATTTAGCTATACCTCATTCAGTTCTATGAACCTTGTAACACCCTTCCCCATGGATGGATGGAGCCCTGTCCCCAGAGTGTTTTGATCTCCAGGGGAGACAGTGTGCAGAACAGAGATGTGTGGTGAGATCTCTCACTGTATCCCTACRGTTTATAGACAGCCTGTGGTTGTACATCCTCTCCCAACAGCCTAAGCATTGCTGATTGCTGCTTCTGTGGTGTTAATGTAAAAATTACTGCTCAAATTATAGCCTGAGTTGYGCAGGGCAGGTCTGCTCTATTGTAACAGGAAGAAGGACGTGGCATAAAACCTCAGAGGAATAATACATTGCATCAGGATTTTTCCGTGTGTAAACGTAAGATTAACACGTCTGTGTAATGCACRTTGTATTCTCGTGGTTAGTTTTATTTGGGATTTGGTACAGAGAGCAGCTCTTGTGCTTTGGCAGCCCTGCAGCCATGCTGCCATTGTTTTGTCGTGAGGCATCCTAGAGCAYATCCTAGAGAAAATCGCACTGGGGATTCCTCCTCGGTCATGGCAAGTTTGGCATGACATCCTTGTGGCAAACAGGGCAGGAATTGGCTGATTTAGGTAAGCTGTCTCTGTGGTTTCTCTGCAAGCTGTCCAGTGTCACGAGGCACTGACCCGCTCCAGGGTCACCCCTGAGTGTGATGGGACACAGTGACACCCGCTCGGGCTGGTCCACAGCAGCCTCCACGAGGATCCCAGGGTGGAATTCACAGCACTGCCTCTGTCACCGACCCCTTCTGGCTCCTCTGTGGTGCAGCCTGTGATGGCTCAATGGGACAAATGACAAAGGCAGGGTTCCTGTCAGGAGGCAGCTGGCATCAGGGACCCATGCGGCTCCCTCTGTCAGCATAAAAAAAAAAAAAAAAAAAAAAAAAAAAAAAAAAAAAAAAAAAAAAAAAAAAAAAGCAAGAAAGGAAGAGGGAGAGGGAGGAAAAAAAAATCGGAAAAAGAAAACTGGGATCAAGATAAGAGCTAGGGAGATGAGCAGTGAAGTGGAAGGGGATGAAAAGATGAAGTCTTACTTTTTTCTTCTTCCAGACTAGTTTTGTTAGCTTAACAGACGACATTAGGTCTCTGGGTGCAAAGCTTCCTCTGGCTCCTGCTGTGGTGATTCCAAGAGGAAATCTTTTTTTTTTTCTCAAGCCAATCTTTACATGTCTCTTTTTCTTGTGGTGAGGGATTGATCATTCTGTGCTTTTTTCAGATGTTCAGCTCATCATGGCGGCTTGTATCACATTTTGATTTGCCTCTTTTCCAGTTACTTTCCTCTGTTAATTTTTACATTAAAATCTTTTCTGAATTCATGCACTAAAATAATGTGGTAAATGTGCTTAGGTTTAAGGTGTTCTGTTTTGTGGGTTTTTAAGTCAGCATTTTATGATATTTCATTTAGTCTTCCCAGTGTTTAGTAATTAGCACTGTTGCATGGTTTTGAATAAGGATCAGAAACTAAACGTAAAAATTATTTTCTTTTTTTTCTGCTGCACACAGCAAAGGCTTGTGATACTCATAAGCAAAAACTTCACTGATGGGCGGAATTAATCATTTTTATTCTCCAAYGTGCACACAGCAGCAAGCTGTGCTGCAGTTTCTTTAAAGGCAGAATTTAAACCTGGATTTCAGATGGTTGTGATATAAAGGCATAGCTTGTATTTTTKGGGCTCTAGACATCACAGAATGCTAAATCATTGCTAGTTGGGATAATTGCAGTTGCTGGCATGTAAACCACCATTCCTGAGTGCCACATGCTTGTAGAGCCACAGCGTTGGATGTGTGCCCTGGTTTGTCTTCATTCACTCCAAGTAAAGCTGTCCAGCATAGAAGAACATTGATTTTGTAAATCGTATTTAATACAAATTTAAAATATATCTTCTTGGAACCTGGGAATGAAATGTTTTGTCCTGTTCAATTGCCAAATGCTCTTTCTCTCTGTTTTCTCTGGCTCTGTATAAAACCATAGGCTTCCTTTCTTTCTAGTTACGAGTTTGTTTTGTTCCAGCATAATTGATTACCTCATCAATGGGGTCAGCGTACTTTGCTGTAGCTGCTGACTAGGAACTGAATAGGCTGTCTCAGAAATAATGAGCAAAACCTTGTAGGTTTTAAATTAATATCAAGCTTTTTAAAATGTAATTTCTTATCAAGTCATCAAGTAGTAGATATTACAAACTATCAGATAATAAGGCCAAGACCTAGTCTCAGTCAGTATGAGTTCAGGAACAAACAGGAATCCTGTACAGAGTTTGAAGGTGAAGGTAACATTGAGAACAGTTTCCACCAAGCTATAATAACTTCATCCCCATGTTACTTTAATTTTTTTCTATGTAATTTTTTAGTTGCTAAGCTATTTTATTTATATCTTCAATGCATAATGGATTTGAATGTACKCTAAAAACAATAGCTCTATACTAGCAGCATTATTCAAAATTTGGTACTCAGATATTTCTTGCTGCCATCTATAAAATGATTCAGTCTCTTTAAATTTCTGACATTTTTTTAAAGTCTGCTTCTACTGTCAGGCAGGACTACCTGGCCTGAGTCTCAAAATACAGTTGCATCTTGCCCAGCTGGTTTTCAAAACCCTTACACTGGCTGGGCTGGAGTGATTTCTTAGAGCTCTTTCCCAGATGTGTTTGTTGTGTTCTCCCCACGCTKTGCTCTGCTCTGGTAGCCACTTTCTCGATGTTAATGGAGCTAAATCTGCATCTGCTCGTGGCAGAGTTAGAGTTGGTGTGACAGAGCATCACACTCTGCATCAGGAGAGGTGTCCAGGCAGGGGAACATATGTTCCCCTCACATCCTGTATGACTCTGTTAACCAGGGATTGCTTATCTGAGCCACAAATTATCCAATTTGTTGTTTTCTACGTAAKACAATAATGAAGTGTTACTATTGCTACACAGAGGACAATATTTTCTGAGTTCTCACTTTCACTAATTTAGTTCCTTGCCACACACTTTTGGATTTCCTCTGCTAGGAGGATAATGTAAATTATTTAATGGGACACAATTTTCTAAAGGCACTACTTACACTGTAATCAAAAGCCATTTGTATGCATACCCATTGTGTACACAAAATTTTCTTTTGCACATGCAAAATAGACACACATGCAACAGTTTTCTTTAATGTGAAGGGAAATTTGTTTTTCCAAATATGGTTTCCAGCATGGGAAAGATATCCAAATTATTTTGAAGCTATTTTACTTCTAATCCATAACAGTTTGGGGCAGCTATCTGGTCAATATTTTACAGCTGTTGGTGTATCTTCAGCAAAGAAGGAGAAAGTTTACATGTTAAAGATGCGAAGTCAGGTGCTTGGGGGAGAAGAAATGCTACATTTTTGGTCACACATGCAATATGAACTCATTTCCCTTTGTGAGCTATGTGATCATCATCAAACTACATCATCAGGCTTTCTCAGACTCCCCAATGCATAGTATGACGAGCCCTCACTCAGTAGAAAGTGCTCAAGTGCTACTCATTTTCCTACAGGGGTGTCCCCAGCATCATTATGCTGCCCAGGGAAGTGGTGGAGTCACAATTCCWGGAGGAATTTAAGCAACCTGAGGAGATGGCACTTTGGCACGTGGCTTAGTGGTGGCATTGCAGTGCTGAGTTTGGGGCTGGCCTCGATGATCTCAGAGGAGCTCCCCAACCTAAATGACTCTGTGATTCCATCTCAGCTGCAGACCTCAATGGCTGCATGGCTTCTACCWGCTCAGGAGGCATTGTCTGTCATTCCCAGTGAGCACATGTGGGATTAGTACACATGGATGGGYACTGGGACAGTCTGAGGGGACAGCTAAGGGAAGGGGGCTATTCTGAGAAAGCAGGGCCTGATTTTGCAGAGCACTCAGGATTTCATCTCACCCCATGTACTAGCAACAAAACTATTGCTGTTGGACGCAGTCTGTTGTCTAAGGCTGGCTATAAATTTGAAAAGGTAGATGGTGTTTTTGAAAACACGCTGGTGAAAATTCTTTTCCCACGACTGAGTATCACAGTAAAGCTTGGGAACAGGGGCAGTTTGTTAAAGCAGCATTGGGCTACTCTAAAACCTATCCTTCCTTGTTC